GTCCCTGATTGCAAGCCCAGGGGGGGGGGGGGGGATCAATGTGGTCAATGTTTTTCTTGTTATTCAAATACATCACATTATCGATATATCTGAATGATAAGCTCATCAATAAATTTAGCTTCACTTGAAAACAAAAAATAATCGCCTAGAAGAGGGTCACGGATTTTCCCCATAGGATATAATAAGCCCAATGTATCATACACACTAGTGTTTACTGAATCGAAATTTTGGAATATTACCTGCCAGTCGAAATTGCATTGTATTAAATTGTGTTAATCTAATTAGTCAACATGCTTTCAATCAAATAGTCAACGGAGCGTTGACGTGCCGTTCTCAAGGGCCATTTACCTTGACAGCCGTCTACATTAATCATTTAAGATCGAGGCGTGAGGGAGCTCACATGTATGTATACATGCTTTATTAAACAAAAAGTTATTGGTGATCGTATCAACAATAACCATTACTATAGCATCATTTTTCAAGAATCAATATAAACAGTCAAAATAATCAGTGTTTTTGTATGGTGATAATTTGATAATGGAAGCATTTTACGTTAATGTATAGCATATATTATAAAAATACATTAGATATAATCAAACTGAGCAGCTAAATAAATGATTTAATGCTCGACGTTCGTAGTTTTATCGCTTATAAGAGACTCTTAAAATGTTAATTTAAAGAAAAGCGTTAGGTCATTGTTGATGAAGCCAGCATCAACATTTTGTCTAAAGATGTACTACATTTTTATAAGTGAATTATAAAGAAATTCGAATTATGCCCCCTTCAGCTGGAATTCCATATGACAGACTAATTCAATTCAAGTAAGTGTTTGGAGTATATGCAATTATGTTGCCAAACAATTAATAGTTTTATTTTCTCTTCGCTCTCACAATATTTATATGTTATTCAGTGGGTAACCATCAAATCGGTCCTTGTTTAACCCTATTTCAACGACAGAAAACAGAGCACAAGCAACACTAAAAACAGGCGAAGAAAATAAAACCCTTGAAGTATGACAATTCACTTAAAAAATCCTCAATACATGCAACCTTGGAAATATCACCGCTGTTAGAACATATTACTAAAACTACAAGAAAGGTGTCAAGTAATTAATATTTACATATTTGTATATCACAGCGGTCAGATAAACATAGCAACGAATTTGTTGTTATAAACCGATAACTGAAGGAATTGTCATACGTTAATGCTTCCCATTCAAAATTTTTTAGAGTCTTTCTGTCCAATTCTTAGAGTAAGAAAGGACATTGCGTGGCGTCAAATTTAAATT